GACCAAATCACTAGTTCAATTTTTACTATTGAATTTTACCATTAATTCATTTGTATAACAACAGTCCCGCTCACCTGCCCACGGTGAGCAGTGCCCACTAGTTTGTTTTATATGAAAAACGTATTTTCAAAATACGTTTTTCATATAAAATAAACTAGTGGGCACTGCCCACCGTGAGCAGAGGAATATATTTATGTATAACAAGCTAGCGAATGTGTAACAAAATTTATTTTAAAGGAAAAACAGAGATAAAGAAGAAGAAGATCAAGTCTCCACGTGAGACCACCAACTGATCAAGACTGCTCCATAGATGGTCTATTTCTCCAACTTTTGGTGGGTCATCAACTGTCATTAGCAAAGAAAAAAATATACATTATTTATTTGCTAATGACAAACTATTGTGATCATAATTGGCTTCACTGTACTAGTTTTGCATAATTTAGTGATGAGAATTAAATATCAAATTATATTGACAATAACTTTATGACGCTGCCACTAACACAAATTAAATATCAAAATTGTTTATCTGGATTTGTGGACGGTATTGTGTTGTTTTTATTTGTGTATACAATATGATCACACAAAAATACTTACCTTTATTATTAATTAATTACATAAATGGTCAAATAATGTTTGATAAGTATATTTCCTTGTAAATTTCGTTACAGATCTTGAATAAATAATTTAGTATATACGAAATACTTACTTGATGCGGAAGACGACATAATTTGTGATCTTGATTGTTATACTATAAATACTTGAACTGCTGGACCGCTAATTTTCGAACCGGATTGCATCTCATTGATCGTCGGTACCTGCAAAACACGGTGGGGGTGGTCCCGGCGCGAACACTCCGATGCTCATGTCAGTGGTGGTCCAAAGAGAAAACGACAGAGTAACGAGATAATGCGTATGTGAGTGTTATGTAAATTGAATGAACCTGCTCCTTTTATAGGAGAAGCTGAAGACTACTCATGAGATAAGAAGTCTTCCCAGTGTTTATCTCTAAATTGGATCAGATTTATTAAGTCTTTAGAGTCCTCATTGCTATCAACTTCTTTGTGACTTGATCACAAAGCCACTTTCTGGCTCTCTCTTTGGTGGAACCTTCTGGTCTAGCTGCCTAAGTGCCGAGGTGGTCCCCTTGATGGTACCCTTAGTGGTACCCTTGGCGGTACCTTTGGTGGTACCCTCAGTGGTACCCTTAGTGGTACCCTGGCCGAGGTACCCATCTGCCTAACTGCCGAAATGCCTAGCTGGTCCCCTCCATACGACAGTGACGACCGGATTACGACCGGTCCTTCATGAACTGCTACTGACGACCACATCATAGATCTTGATCATCACATGGAGCTCGATCGATTCTTAGATCTAAATGAGTTTCTCCCTTCTGACCAATTCCTTAACATAGCAGAAAACTGATGGGAAAAACTGCGTACCTAATAGGAGGAGAGTTGACTAATTTATATAGAGGTGTTTTAGATCTAATACGTCTATCAAACATCAATGACTTAGATTTATTTGACTATTAATTAAAGGTCTGACCCAATAAGATAATTAATTATGGGCCCAATACTTTCAAACCACGTATTCTTATATTTCTCACTCATCATTACTAACTTTAATCCGACAAAAAAATTGACTATAGTTAATTTGTGAACAGGTCATAATAATTTCAGGTTAAATTTAGAAAACAATACCCAAAATGTGTATTAATTATAAAATAACGATTTGTAATAGTTATCATAATGTACGGCTTTTGAGAAAAATAAAACAAATGAAGTCTAAATGGAGCGTCTGAAAGTTAAAAATAATATTAAAATTTCAAAAGACATAAGATTCGAAAATCTAGCTGAGAACGTAAGGAAACAATATTATATTAAAAGGAAAAATCTAGTTGATGAAAAATGTCTTCCCCAAATCAATACCTGACAAAACAATCCCATTCATGCGGCATCACAATGTGAACTAATTTACGTAAAATTTATTTAAATTTTAAATAAATGGGAGAGTAAGTAATATTAATTTCCATATTAATTTCTTTACTTATAAATGGAAACAAATTAATTATATATAAATTCTGAATATTTAACGAAGACATTGGAGTTGACATTGTTAATTGAATGATTATATTCAGTTGAGTTTGATTATGTATTTAATTTTATATAAGGTGATAAAATAATTGTGCGCATGGAAATAACGGAAATTCATTTTGAGTGCAAAGATTTGTATTTGGAGGAATATTAAAGAAAATGATTTGAAATTATGGATAATAATGATACGAGATCTCTACAACAATAAGTCAAAATATTAGAGCTCAAGTTAGAGTAAGTTTCACTTGTCAATTTTCAAGTACTAATTTTGATATTCAAAAGTTGTATTATTAATTTGAAATTTCCAAATTTGATATCCATTTAATATTCAAATAAAATAAAGGGAGATACTACGGTCACGTTACGGAAACATTCTGTCGGGGTTTTTGTAACTATTAGATCAACTATTTCTGACGGTTACATGATTATCTAACGATTACAAACCCCGACAGAATGACTCCGTGACATCCAACATATATAGAGGTCAATAATTAAGTTCCAATAAACGATGAAATAGGCAAAATTAGAATTATAGAAAAAAAAAATAAAAAAAAATGAAAC